GATACTGACAGGGATCCAACACGCAGAGTGCGGACAGAAGGAGGTACGTATACCGGACCTTAGAATGGCCGGACTAACGTAGGGACAAAGCAGAATAGTCAAAAGGTAAGCCGAGGTCGAGGGAGCCGGAGGACAGGTAAGCGAGATACAAGCCGAGTCAAAGGAGAGGAGAAGACAACAGGACAAAAGACAAGCAAGGGTGAAAACCGGAAACACAAGATAAGGAACGCGCTGAGTGACTAGCAAGCTAGAACCACGACAGGGCAATGAGCAGTAGTAAAGGTTTCCTTTAAATACCCTGTACCTAAATAGAGACCACGCCCCCAAAAGGTCCGGAATAGCGGTTCCCGGCACTTTATGCAAATGCCGACGTAATGACGTCGACGCTAGCCGTCGCGTCATAAAAGGGGGAGGAGCTAGCGCGGCCGGCGCGAAAACGGCCGGAATATGCCGAAAATGCTAGGGGCAGGGAGCCCCTAAACAGAGAGGATGTCTTCCCTGGATTCAGCACCAACAGGTACCCTGACAGTACCCCCCCTTCTAGAAACGCCCACCGGGCGGATGGGACCGGGCTTAGAAGGAAAATGAACGTGGAATGCCCGAAGAAGACGAGGAGCATGCACGTCTATACCAGGAACCCAAGACCTCTCTTCTGGACCATAACCCTTCCAGTCTATGAGGTATTGCAGCTTCCCCCTAGAAATACGAGAATCAAGGATGGACTTGATGATATATTCCTCCTGACCATCCACACGGACCGAGGATGGAGGAGCAGAGTGGGAGGAAAATCTGTTACAAACAAGAGGTTTCAATAAAGACACATGAAAAGAGTTAGGAATGTGTAGAGTAGGAGGTAGATCCAGCAAATAAGAAACCGGGTTGATCCTCCTCAGTACCCTGTAAGGACCAATGTAACGAGGAGCAAACTTCAAGGAAGGGACTTTCAGGCGAATGTGTCTGGTACACAACCAGACCCTATCACCCGGAGAAAAAATAGGAGCAGGCCGCCTACGCCTATCAGCATGTGACTTAAACACAGCGGAACTACGTTCAAGAATTTGTCGAGTCTGATCCCACAACTTTCTCAGGTTGGCTATATGAATATCAACCGACGGTATACCCTGGGAAGGAGACACCGACGGAAGAACAGTAGGGTTAAAGCCATAGTTCAAGAAAAGGGGGCTATTATGAGTGGAACCACAAACAAGGTTGTTGTGAGCAAACTCCGCCCAAGGAATCAGACCGACCCAGTCATCCTGGTGTTCAGAAACAAAACAACGTAGATATTGCTCAATTTTTTGGTTAGTGCGTTCGGCTGCTCCGTTAGATTGAGGATGATAGGCCGAAGAAAAATTCAGTTTGATGCCCAACTGGGAACAGAAGGATCTCCAAAAACGGGAAATAAATTGGGAACCCCTGTCTGACACAATCTCATTGGGAATACCATGTAAACGGAAAATTTCTCTAGCAAATATCACGGCCAGTTCAGGAGAGGACGGAAGTTTAGGCAAGGGAATGAAATGAGCCATTTTAGTAAACCTGTCAAGGACCGTGAGGATAACCGTATGCCTACTGGAAGCTGGTAGATCAACAATAAAATCCATAGCCAAACAAGCCCAAGGTTTGTTGGGAACGACTAAGGGCTGCAATAAACCACAAGGGAGATCCCGCGGAAGTTTATTCCTGACACAAACATTGCAAGCCTTGACAAAGTCTTCCACATCCCTACGTAAACCGGGCCACCAGAAGTCTTTGGAGATCAGGCAGTAAGTTTTGTGGATGCCGGGGTGACCAGCGAACTTGCTATCGTGAAAACAGCGAATAATGTCCACTTGGAATTTGGGAGACACGAACAAGCGGCCCACAGGAGTACGTTCGGGAGCAAGAGATTGTTCGTTCATAATATCAGCGAGCAATGGAGAGTGTATTTTGACATTGGTGTTGGCGATAATATTGACTTCAGGAATAATAGGGAACAAAGTGTCCTCTGTAGAGGTGATAGGTTCGTGCTGACGTGACAAAGCGTCTGCCTTAGTGTTCTTAGAACCAGGCCTGTAAGTAAGCATATAATTAAAGTGTGTAAGGAACATAGACCAACGTGCCTGCCTGGCAGATAATCTTTTGGCCTCCCCCATATACGATAAATTTTTGTGGTCAGTCAAGATAGTAACTGGGAGGACAGTGCCCTCTAACAAATGTCTCCATTCCTTTAATGCCATAATGATAGCTAAAAGTTCTCTATCACCAATGTCATATCTCCTTTCAGTGTGTGATAGTTTCTTGGAAAAAACACCGCAAGGGTGCAGCGGCTTATCTAAACTTTGTCTTTGGGACAACACTGCGCCTATCCCTGTTTCAGACGCATCAACTTCAAGTAAAAAGGGTAGAGAGGTATCAGGATGAACTAATACAGGTGCTGAGGCAAAAGACTGTTTGAGCGTTTCGAAAGCAGATAAAGCCTCAGTAGACCAGGTCTTAGTATCGGCTCCTTGTTTGGTCATATTAGTGATAGGAGCGATAATAGAGGAGTACCCTTTAATAAAACGTCTGTAATAATTAGAAAATCCAAGAAATCTTTGTATGGCTTTGAGTCCCTTAGGTAAAGGCCAATCTAAAATCGATTTTAGTTTGGTCGGGTCCATCATAAACCCGTCTTTGGAAATTACGTAACCTAAGAAAGTTACCTGAGACTGGTCAAAGCTACATTTTTTCAATTTACAATACAATCCATGTGTAAAAGTTTCTGTAATACCTTTCTGACTTGTCTATGATGTGAATTAATGTCTCTAGAATGGATTAGTATATCATCCAAATATACAATTACACATTCATGTTGGAATTCTCTAAGAACCTCATTGATTAAGTCTTGGAAGACGGCCGGGGCGTTACAAAGCCCAAACGGCATTACGGTATACTCATAATGCCCGTAACGGGTATTAAATGCTGTCATCCATTCATCTCCTTGTTTAATTCGCACCAAGTTATATGCTCCTCTCAAGTCAAGCTTGGTAAAAATACTCGAGCCCTTTAGTCTGTCAAAGAGTTCAGTAATCAAAGGAATAGGGTAAGCATTCCTGATAGTAATTCTGTTCAATCCCCGATAGTCTATACAAGGACGTAAGGTACCGTCTTTCTTTTCTACAAAAAAGAAACCCGCCCCCGCCGGAGAAGAAGACTTTCTAATAAATCCTTTGTCTAAATTCTCCTTGATATATTCCTCTAAAACTAAGTTTTCCTTGGTGGATAGAGGGTATACCGTACCCCTGGGAGGCATAGTACCAGGGAAAAGTTTAATAGAACAGTCATAAGACCGGTGGGGAGGTAAAGTATCCGCCTTACCCTTGTCAAATACAGATTTGAGGTCTAGATATTGTAATGGTATCTGAACGTCTGTGGATTGGGAAGTGTTAGCATAAGAGTTTACGGGGCAAACAGAAGTAACTCTCTGCAGACATTCTTTCCTACAACCCATACCCCAAGAAACGATTTCTCCAACCTCCCAGTCAATCTGAGGGTTGTGTCTCTTGAGCCAAGAATATCCTAGCACCACTGGGACTGCCGGGGAGGAAATTAACAGAAGGGAAATCAACTCCTCGTGGAAAATACCAACAGTAAGCTTAACGGGTTTGGTCTCATGGAATATTACTGGTTCAGATAAAGGTCTACCATCTATGGCCTCAACGGCCAAGGGTGTATCTCTCAATTGGACTGGGATACAATGCTTATTAGCGAAAGTTTGGTCTATAAAGCTTTCTGCTGCTCCAGAATCTAATAATGCCATCGTAGAAATAAACCCCTTTTCCCAAGCTAGAGAGACAGGAATCAGAAGCCTATGGTCTTTTTTATTATGCATAGAGGACAGTAATGAAACACCCAAGGCCCGTCCTCTAAGGGAACTTAGGTGCGAGCGTTTCCCGGACGATTAGGGCAACTAAGACGTAGGTGACCTCTCTGCCCGCAGTATAAACAAAGACCCTCCCTTCTTCTGTACTGTCTCTCAGCCTCAGATAAGCGAGTATTACCTATTTGCATAGGTTCTGGTGGAGTAGGATTATAGGAGTCAGGGTTCTGAAATGAGGGAGCGAGTCTTACAGGAAGTCTAGTAACTCTTTCCCGAGTGTTCTGCCTCTGTCTCATGCGTTCATCTATTCTGGAAATGAAGGATACTAAATCCTCTAAATTTTCCGGAAGTTCTCTTGTGGCAATCTCATCTAGAATTTCATCAGACAACCCATTCAAGAATACATCCATAAAAGCTTGTTCGTTCCATTTCACTTCTGCTGCCAATGATCTAAACTCTAGAGCATATTCTACAAGGGTCCTATTCTGTTGTTTAAGGCGTAACAGGGATCTGGCCGCATTAATCTTCCTTCCTGGGGGGTCAAAGGGGTCAAAGCAGTTCTTCTAAAAGCCGTGACAAAAGCAGCAGTGTAGTTGTAGACTAAAGGATTGTCATTCTCCCAAAGGGGATTGGCCCATCTAAGTGCTTTATCTATTAGCAGGGTTATAATAAAGCCTACTTTAGCCCTGTCAGTGGGGTAAGCCCGGGGTTGAAGTTCGAAATGTATGCTTATCTGGTTTAAAAAACCACGACAAGCATCAGGCGAACCCCCATATCGTAACGGTGAAGTGACATGGGAAGATGCGCCTACAGTGGCTACTTCCAAACCAGTACTTAGCGAGTGGCTAGCAGTGGAACGTATTTCTTCAGACTGAGTGCTGGAGCGTGTTAACAAAGTTTGTAATGCTAAAGCCATTTGGTCCATTCTATGGTCCATGGCCTCAAATCTGGGGTCAGGAGGACTAGCACCTGCAGGATCCATTTGGCCCTGTCGTAATGTCAGGATACTGACAGGGATCCAATACGCAGAGTGCGGACAGAAGGAGGTACGTATACCGGACCTTAGAATGGCCGGACTAACGTAGGGACAAAGCAAGAATAGTCAAAAGGTAAGCCGAGGTCGAGGGAGCCGGAGGACAGGTAAGCGAGATACAAGCCGAGTCAAAGGAGAGGAGAGGACAACAGGACAAAAGACAAGCAAGGGTCAAAACCAGAAACACAAGATAAAGAACGCGCTGAGTGACTAGCAAGCTAGAACCACGACAGGGCAATGAGCAGTAGTAAAGGTTTCCTTTAAATACCCTGTTACCTAAATAGGGACCACGCCCCCAAAAGGTCCGGAATAGCGGTTCCCGGCACTTCATGTAAATGCCGACGTCATGACGTCGACGCTAGCCGTCGCGTCATAAAAGGGGGAGGAGCTAGCGCGGCCGGCGCGAAAACGGCCGGAATATGCCGAAATGCTAGGGGCAGGGAGCCCCTAAACAGAGAGGATGTCTTCCCTGGATTCAGCACCAACAGGTACCCTGACAATTGCCCACTCTATGAAATTCCTTGTGTCCAGCTCTGGTGATGGCTATCTAGATGTTTTATGGTCTAGGCCTGGTGCAAGATCAAAGACCACAATAAACGTCATCCCAAGGTTTACAAAAAAACAACTCTTAACATATATAAACACACATCAAACACCAACTCATGCTTTTGGCATGACACCTCCCCCTTAAGATGGTGGACAGAAAAATGTAGCCACAGGCTGATTTATCTGTCTACCATTAACCCTCTAGTTGCTGAGACAGGCCATCTGCATTCCCATGCAAGCTGCCCTTTTTGTTTTGGACAGTGAAATTATACTGTTGGAGGATAGGGCTCCAATGGAGCAGTTTACCATGGTTACCTGTCACCTGCAGCAGGTTGTGATCAGTCCATACCACAGCTACCCCCTCAACAAACATGCCTGATTTGCCTGTTTCAATTTCCCATCGATCTCTGGTAACATCCCTTAAACTGCGCTCATGTAGTAGCTGTAAGGGGAAGAAACCAATGGATTTCTGTAGCACTCCCCGGTAAGCACACAAAAAAGCAGACAGAGAACACTCCCAGGATAGATGTGCTGTATCAACACCCATCATCTCTTTCATTTTGCGGTCTGTCTGCTGGGCTTGTTGCACTATCAGACTCTGAACCTTTGGTTCACAATCATAAAGTTGCTTAGGTGTATGCGTGAGTTGTGATAAACTGACAAGGTTCCTGGTTCCTCCAACAGTATGTTTCCCTGCAGCCATCCTTCCTGGACCCACAGGCTGAGTCTGTCCGTGCCCCTCACTTTCACTCCAGGTCATCAGACATACAGAACTTTGGAAACTGGCTAAGCCTGCCGCAGAGTAACGCTCACACACCCTCTGCCCTCCCTCATAGCCTCGCTGTCCCTTCACATTTTCACCCACCACATCACATACATCTGCTTCAGGCACATATTGGCACATATATTCATTCAGCCCCCTCTCGCTGGAAGGCTTTTCCCATACATTTTCACAGGACACATTTGACCCCCCTTGATCAGATACAGAATTTTGCACACACTCACATAATTTCTTCTCCAAGGCAGGCCCTCCTCTCACAATCTCACATAGCACCTCAGACTGTCCTGCTGCAGCCCTGACCCACTGTTGACTTGTTACCACTGCGACTAGTGGTACACATCCCAGGCCCAGAGGAGGCGGGCTGAAAAGCTAGCCGGATAGGAGGCATGTGTGGGTGTGGTGGGTGTAGGTGTCACATGTGGGGGGTGTCACTTAGGATAGGGGTGGGGTGGGGTCATATAAAAGGGCAGTCATTTTGTCCCTTACCTCAGCCATCTTAGAATAAGTAACATCTTCCCTCCCGCCCACCCTTGATTGTTGCGTATTGTATATCTTTAACTTTATTTCTTGTCACAGCTGGCGGGTATGGTCCTTGCCAAACCAGTTGGAAAACGAGTACACTGGAAGAAGGAATGCTGGGTCTGGTCCCTCCCCTAACCTCGGAGAGTTTTGGTAATTGGGCGTGCCCCCCGTGCCAGTAAAAGGCGGCCAGGGGAATTGGAAGGCCAATGTAAAAGGCCAGTTATCTTGGACGAGGGGGGAGGGCAGGTACCCTGGAAGGGGGTACTCTAGAGTTATTATGGTTCGGTTGGCAAGGACAAGTTTTCGAGTAAATTATTGGTTGATTTATTTATGCTTGTCATGATAAATAAAGCTGTGGCCTGTTTTATACCACACTTATGTCTCTTGGTTTTAATTGGGGGGAGAACGGGAAAATGTAATTATGATTGCATTGGTTCGCACCGCACAATAACCACTACCTACACACATGGCTCTCACCTTCCTCCTCCCCCTTACTCTCTGACATCCCAGCCTCACAGTATTTTAATACAGGCACATCACTACTCACCCCTATCTCACATTTGGTAGACATCACTGGTTCAGTTACAGGTAGATATTTATCCACACCCTGCTCTCCCTCCCAGCAATCACACTCCACAATGTCTCCCAAAGTTTCACACAATACCTTAGGTGGAGCAGTCAGCCCTTCTGGCTCACAAACAGTGTCCGCTGGAGCATAGTGACAGAGCATCCTGCCCAAATCATTCCCCAACAGAACATTAACAGGGATATCCTCTGAAATCCCCACTTCCCGCAAACCTTTGCCCGCACCCCAATCAAGGTACACACGTGCCAAGGGCACAGCGGGGCGTACACCCCCAATTCCTTTGATGGACATGGTTCTTCCAGGGATTATGTCCTCCGTATTCACCACTTCAGGTCGCACCAGGATGAAGGAAGCTCCAGAATCTCTCAGTCCCATGGTCACTCTGTCACCCACAATTACACTCTGCAGGTTATCCTCTCGTTTCCCCACAGACCCACCCACAAGCAATACTGATGGTGCCCCTCCACGGACTGGTGAGGGCATATTCCTAGTGGGGCAAGTCCTGCTCAGATGACCAATCTGGTTGCATCGAAAACAACGGCGGGCATCTGACTCACTTGACATAGCCCTGGCTACGCTGGCAGTCGGCGGTGAAGTTCTCACTGCAGATCTTATAGGTGGTGATTGAACTGTAGCTTCTCTCCAGGTCGAAGTAGCAGCTGACACAAGTCCACGCCTGGATGTGGGTGCATGGATGTCGGCATAGTCATCTGCCAGTTCTGCAGCAGCCCTAGCATTTTTTGGCTTTCTTTCCAAAATCCACTCTCGTACATTAGGGCTCCGGGTCTGCAAGAACTGCTCCAGGACCATTAAGTCATTAAGGGCTTCATAGGTAGTAGCTTGTACTCCTGTTACCCATTGCCGGAACGTGGTTTCTAATTGTGCAACATATAGAATGCAGCTGGATGATGGGCATTGCTGCATACTCCTAAACTTTTTCCTGTAAGACTCAGGAGTAAGGTTAAAAGTTTTTTGCAATGCAGATTTGATTGCCTCATAGTTGTTATCAGTCTCTGGGGGAAGGGACACAAACACATCCAAGGCTTTCCCTTTCAATTGTGGAGTTAAATATCTGCCCCACTGGTCTGAGGGTAGTTGATGCTGCCTGCATACTTTCTCAAAACTTTTTAAAAATACATCCAAATCTGTCCCTTCTTCGAGGGAAGGAAAATCATCCTTACGGAGCCTACGTGTGCTGGACTCTGATGCATTGCTGTTCAGTGAGGATTGAAGGGTAACTTGCAGTTTAGCAAGTTCCAGCTCATGTCTCCTTTGTGCCTCCCTTTCGGCTAGCCTCTCTGCAGATTCCCTTTCTGCAGCCTGCTGTTGGATCATCACATGCAGGGCCTCCTGAGGATTTGCAGCCATCAGTTGCCGAAATAAATCAGTTGAGCAAATGTCCTTAATGTTTTGAGGGGTACAACCACCAGGAATTTCAGCAAGCAACACTCCTGCAGTAGTAGGGAGCTCGGTAACCCTTTCAGTATCCGTCTCTGGCTGGAAAATATGGCTGTCAGCCTCCACAAGGTCAGCAATAAGTTGTGCCTTATTTTTGCCAAAAGTTGGTAAATTCTTTTCTTGGCACAACAATTCCAAGGCCTCTTTTGATTGTTTGCGATAGGCCTCCATATTCACAAATAGGATAGAGAAAGAAAAACAAAAGATGGGAGGGGAGAACTGTTTTGCACTTTGTATGTATTTTAAATCAGCACTGAGCTTGGTCTTTGGAAATTACACAAAAACAAGTATGCAATTTCTTTTAGTGCTAAGACCCCCTTTACAGGTAAAATCTAGCTAGCACTAAAAATCTCTAAATATATCCCACTAGCTGCCGCCAGTTTGTCACGTGCGTGGGCTATAGGCCCAGCCGAGACAGTGGGGAGAGTGTGGAAGTGACAGGGTTAATGACACCAGACCCCTGGTTACCTGTTGCTAGTCCCAGCAACCACTCAATTAACCCCTGCAATCCCTTCTACACTATCCCCCTTAGTACTACTGCCACCACCAAGACTTTTAAACCCGGGCGTCTTAGGTTACCCCACACACAGGAGAATTATAGTATCACAGTTCTACTTTTACTGATAAAACATATATAGTTAACCCCTTTTTGGTAACGTGTTTACCTGAGCTTTCCTCTGGAGAGTGAAGCTCATAGAGAACAGAGACACAAGCTGATTAAGTAAACATTTAATCTGACAAAAAGGATTCACAGTGCTGAGTACAAAATACAGAAATAAATGACATACAGATAACAAATTGCAACACAGTACATAAAATAAAATAGGAGAAAACACAAGAAATTCCTTACATATATTTACCCCATATAGAATTCTTGTGGGAGTCTTAGATGGTATAGGTCTCCTAGAAGTTACTGACAAAAAGAAAATGAATAACTGACCTCCCTGGATAGTCCAACACCCTCATATATCTAAACTAGTTGTTTCTCAGTGGGCAGACCCCTGGGGGGTGGATCAGAGGGGGCTGGTCTGGCAGTCTATTGCCCACTCTATGAAATTCCTTGTGTCCAGCTCTGGTGATGGCTATCTAGATGTTTTATGGTCTAGGCCTGGTGCAAGATCAAAGACCACAATAAACGTCATCCCAAGGTTTACAAAAAAACAACTCTTAACATATATAAACACACATCAAACACCAACTCATGCTTTTGGCATGACACACTGTCTTTTCAGAGAAACATTATAGCCTAGTGATAACTTCACTGGCCACTCCTCAGATGGCTGTTAGAGATCCTTCCTGGGTCATGGCTGCCTAAAATGCATCCAAACATTCAGTATCTCCTCCCTCTGCATGCAGACACTGAACTTTCCTTATAGAGATTCATTGGTTCAATTCATGAAAAGAAAAAGAACGAACTAATGGGATCAGAGCAAACGGAATCCCAAAAGTCCGAGGATAGGACTATATGGGTATAGACGGGAATGTACCCAAATAATATAAAGAAAAGAAATTACCTTGGGGTATTAGAGAGGAAAAAAGGCATAAAACCGTTCCTCTCAAACCCCCCCAGGGATATTAAAGGGACACTATAGTCAGCTGAACAACTTTAGCTTAATGAAGCAGTTTTGGTGTATAGAACAAGCCCCTGCAGCTTCACTGCTCAATCCTCTGCCATTTAGGAGTTAAATCCCTTTGTTTATGAACCCTAGTCACACCTCCCTGCATGTGACTTGCACAGCCTTCCATAAACACTTCCTGTAAAGAGAGCCCTATTTAGGCTTTCTTTATTGCAAGTTCTGTTTAATTAAGATTTTCTTATCCCCTGCTATGCTAATAGCTTACTAAACCCTGCAAGAGCCTCCTGTATGTGATTAAAGTTCAATTTAGAGATTAAGATACAATTATTCAAGGTAAATTACATCTGTTTGAAAGTGAAACCAGTTTTTTTTTCATGCAGGCTCTGTCAATCATAGCCAGGGGAGGTGTGGCTAGGGCTGCATAAACAGAAACAAAGTGATTTAACTTCTAAATGACAGTGAATTGAGCAGTGAAATTGCAGGGGAATGATCTATACACTAAAACTGCTTTATTTAGCTAAAGTCATTTAGGTGACTATAGTGTTCCTTTAACTTGTAAGGCCTGGGGTTTAATAGAGGGGTTTGGCATACATTTGACGCGAG